CTGTAGATTTTCCAGAATATTAACAGTTGAACACGCGCGGCAACAATGACGCAAGTTTCGTGTTCACAACGTCGGGGGTAGGCTGACGGGGTAATATAAAGTTAAAGTGGCTGTAATTCTGTTCCAGGTGTATAACGCCTGACAACAAGCAGCGCTAAGATACAACACGACTTTGATAGTGAACGCTGTAAACTTATCGCCACTTCGATCACGCACTTCGACAGCTAAGAACAACAGATCACGGCGTCCTATCGGTCAATGATTAGCAACCTAATAAAGTTCATCGTCGTAGCAACGTCAACTGATTAAACTGCATTTCAGCGATGCATAGCCGAACGTGACAAACACTTGTAAGCTTTTCCCGTTCGCATTCCCAAAGTATGCATCCCCTTTTGTTGTATAATCGGGATGGAAAAACGCGACACATCAGCTGCTCATTCTGTTAATCCTATCTGTTAACCCACAATCGCCATTAATCCGCTGATGAAAACTCGCCAATACATTGTATGCCTTTATACAGTATTAATCAAGGGAAAAAAAATGGAACAGGTTGACACAGAAGTAGAAAACCAGACATGAAGACTGTCTTTTTGAACAGGAATTTAATGACACAGCTGTTTAACCTGTTATACATAACTACATGACTGCGAAGTTGGGGGCGTGTATTAAAACAAGGCTAAATGTAACACGAGCAAAATGCCACCGAATCTGGGCTCCGAAATTTGAAGGCCACAACCGAAAGCACCCCAGCGGTGGTGGTGCCCAACAGTGCGCTTCGTCTGCACGGGCTTCGCGAAAAACCATTTTTAAAAAGTAATAACAGAAAAAAGTTAGTAACGGTGATCGAGACAGTTTGTGTCGAAATCGTTAAATATCAAACGCAAAGAACTCCTTCCCTTCAACCGCAAATTCGCTCCAGCTCGGCACGAGCCCTCTTCGTGCTGAGCCGTGCTGACTCATCGCCCTTTTTTTTCTTTTTCTACGGCGATTCGCGTGTGCCATTCAATCGCTCATACAGCCCACCCCCAACCCAGCCGTCACTAATCGGCATACGAAATCAAAGCGCACGCAAAAGTGCATCATTTGCATAGAGATCAGTCGTCGCATGCAGCGCCACCGCGGTGCACTCCGGCGCAGCGCGAAAAGCAGAAGGCTGAACAGAACGTCGAAACGCGCGCCTCCGTGGTACGGCATCAGCGCTAGGCAACGGCTTCAAAATTGGCTAAAAGAAATGAAAGCGCTTCGTTTTCTTTGTAAACTCAGCGTTTCGCTTTCGGAATCCAGGCTGTTTCTCGAGCCTGCTTGCCTTTCGAAATCGATCCGACCCGCGTAGTCGGATCACAGGCAGCGAGATCCAATCAATCGAATCCGCCTCCCCTTACTTCTCAAGGGCTCGCGAAGTGCTGTTGGTCCCTCTCACCCGCGGAAACGTCGGCGATTTCGTGCGGCGTGAATATCATCCAATTTGCTGTTTTTACGGCGCCCGCCCGACCCGGCGCGCAACAAAACACAGAAGCAGACGACGCAAGATGGCCGCTGCGTGCCTCAGTGTGGCCAGGCGGCAGTTTTGAGCTCGGGCTACATTTGCATTCAAATACAAATTTTTGAAGATTGCGAACGAAAGTATATATCAGCTCAGGTCTCCGGGCAGCACCTCTCCAAAGTGAATTGAAGCCATTTTTTTTTACTGAATACATTCTTTTTCCATTAGCATCTAAGAACTTCTGCCTTCGTGTCATTTGCCATTTCCGCGAGCATAACAGGTTAAAGCAGATATTTGTCATTTACATTGTCAAATGAACTAAGGGTGCATCAGGAACAAGCAAATTCGGCGTTTTCAAGATACACAGACACCTACTTTGTTGGGGATGTAGCAATGGTTTCTTCTTCTGATGCAATACAAATATTCAAAAAGAAAGGAAACAGGCTTCCAAAATCTATTTTCCCATCTCACGAATCAACTGTACAGAGCTTTTTCACAAAAGTCATTCTCACATACACCGACACACCTAACCACTCGTAACCAGATGCCCAAATATGAGGACCCAGTGAATTAAAAACGTCGGCGTTACAGTTAACGAAAAACTGTTTTTACGGAAATTCAACAATTACTGCGCGATATTTTAAAGAGAGAGAGATAAGAGAAAAAAAACAACAACGGCTATATACCTAAATGCAAACCATTCTCACTGAATGATAGTAAATAAACTTCTTAGCAGAAATTGCATGCTCTGTAAATGCATAATGGAACTGCTTCCGCAGCGGAACTCTGCAGCTTTCCTGAAGATCCTTCATTAATAGTGCTCCCAAAAATTCTTCTTTCCCTCATGCGACTCAGTAACTGCTGTCATTCTTTATATATCGTATATATAAGAAAAAAAAAGACATTCAAGAACATCAAATAGTCAATCCTCAAATCAAATCCAAGTGAATACCAATCAACTCAATGGCTCAGACATTCCCAAACCCCTAATAAATATGCAGTTCAGAAAGGCATCCTTGCTAGTCAATTTGCAACCGAATGAAATACATTTCTGCTGTATGTGGTGACAGAAAAAAAAAAATCACAGCATATCCACGGAGTGAATGATGATGAGTGGGGCTAAGCGCTGGAGGGTTTCATCGCTAAACCCTGAACCATCCGCGAATATCGCCCACTACATCATCAAAGACATGACAAACACTGTATATATTTATACACTAAATTTGATTATTCGTAAGTGATAGCTATACGTCGCTTCCGCTCCCCCTTCTTTATAACGGCTTTATGGTCGATGAAGTGGTGGATCAGTAATGGGGCGTAGTGGGATGTTTGCAAGTGGTCAGTTGGCAAAGGTGGAACTATAAGCAGTCACGTAGGTACATACAAGGGATGGACAGACCCACATCATTAGGAGCTTCCCCCCTAAAAAAAAAAAAGTCGGGCCTGCACGAAACATACAGCACAGACACAGCAAAAGCTGCAAGTGTGGCCTTTCTAGAGCCACAATCTTAAGAAAACTACTACAAGTGCACAGGCATGGTACCCACTACAACATCACAAACCATCACAACTTTTGTGAAGTAGGAAAGCATACAATATTCCACTAGCATTTGTCACTCTCCAGAGAAGCGCGGTACCCGCCATGCACTTGTGAGGCATTATGAGCACTTTGTTAATGCTACATTTGATGACAATGAAGAAATCATGTCTGAGCCTTTTGTAATGCGTTGAAATAGGTTGTGACGCCAAGTTGTTACTTTACGCATCTGTAGCACTCTATTTCACATGCGTTAATGCGATTCTTCAACTGACATGAAGCCAGCACTGGGTCAGTTTACAACAAAGGTTCGAATTTTAAAGGTAGCTCCAAGGTAGAATATTGGCCTGTCATGCAGAGGGCAAAGGTTTGAACCCCATTCTTTCTTGGGTATTTTTAATTTCTTTTCTTTTATTACTCCATGTGATAGTGGTCATGGACACGGGCAACGGAAAACAACTATGGTGCCAAAATCAACCCCTGTTGTGATCTCATAACAGCTTTCGGTGTAAAAAAAAAAGCTTGTTTCAATTCAAGTGGTTGTGGCAGATGGCGCCATTGCCATACAAGGTATGTCACATGAGCCATTTTTGTAATCGTTTTGATGAGAGGTGATAAGTCATATATGTCACATGAGCCATTTTTGTAATCGTTTTGATGAGAGGTGATAAGTCATACATATTTAAACAGCACCTAACAGTACTCACTGGAAACTAGCTTGATTAATTAACATTTCATCAGTAATAGTGCTCACTCAGAAAAGTGTGGTTTGCAATCAGATGTACTATAGATAAAGGGTAGATAAGGACGGAAAGAGGAAGCTTTTGGCAAAAGAGCCAGGCCTTGCAACATGAACATGCACAATTGATGGGAACGCACACGTGAGCCAGCTCTCGGATTTGCACGGGAGAGACTGATGTTGAGCAAACCTCCAGAGTGAACCTCGAGCGAGCAAGCCTTCCATGATCAGAGAATAACAACTAAGGACAGAGGTTTTACTGTGTAGTAGTAGAAAGTCCCAAATATTTGTGCAAGCCAATCGATTAAATAAATCCCCTTGCTAATTGCACTCTATGAAGACCTGAAACATCTGCACTTCTCGCCAGATCAAGCAGTACTGCTTACTGCCTGCAGCATTTGCAAGTGAACGAATGAATGGGATAAAAGAATGATGAAAAAAAAAAAAAAAAACAGGATGAGGAAAGAAGCAACTGAGCCTCTGGCTACCAGAACTCCACCAGAAGAGATGATGTGCTCGTGCAATTTTGGTGATCACGAAGAATAGTATATGATCTTCTATAAAAACTATGCTATAAATTATAAAACCAATAGGAAATACTGGTGCTGCAATCATTTAATTGCTATGGAAATACCAAGCCCTTCATTGAGGAAGGAAGAGGCAAGAAGTCGTGTAGAATGATATGCCAGAATCATCGCCCCGGTGTCACCAAGCATTTCTTGTGACACTACTTATTATTAATTTTTCTGAGTTCAAAAGTGTTTGCAGATTTCAGAGCAGAAAATGCAGTTAGTATTCCTTCTCATGCGCAAATAATTATGGTAAATTGCCGCAAGAAATGTGTAATGGTTTTGACGAAAGTAACTGTTCTCCAGTGTGAAATTTTTTTAAGCATGAACTTCAGGGAATTCTGGGAACTGCACACTGGTATCACACTGCCCGATTTTCTTATTTACAAAAGCTTCTGCAAATAAACTACACTGGAACATAAATGATGACAGAAACTACTGCAATCTTAGTACCAGCTCCTGTTCTGTCCAATAACAGCAGCACATGCTGGCCGTCACAGGAACAAACAATGTTTGGGCAAAACTAAAATGAATGTGCTTTATATTTGTTTCGATCTATGACTAGCTGGAAAGCATAACGTCTTTCTCAGATTATAATGCATTCAAAGTCCCATAAAGCTGAACCAATACCACTGTTTTGCCAGTAGAGTGCAGAACGGTGTACTAGAGAAATGCAACCAGCTTAAATAAATCGCTTTAATGAGGGAAAGCGTCAATGACACTTTTGGATTTGACATAGTTATGTCATGGAGTCTGAAGTGATGAAAATAGATTAGGCAACCATTTACCGCAGAGTGTGACAGTAGGTGGAGTTGAAGGATGCCCGTGTTTGCCAACCTGCCTTTCCCGGTAGTGGACAATGGCATTGATTCGGCAATAGACGTGGTGCCGATGGTTCGCGTCACTTCGACGCCTGCCCACGTACAATTTTAAATTGTTTTACGCTACACTACCAGACGATACGAGATGTAACGTCCAGCAGTCTCACTGGGCCGGATGATCTTCACGACCTGGAAAGTGAAGAGAACAAGCGTGCAACAAATTGAGCAACTGTTTAGAATAACAAAAGCCGAGCCAGTTGGCATGTGTTCGTCTTCAAAGACGAGGTGTATGCTGTGCTTTGACTTCTCTCTAGTGTGCGGGTCTACATGCACAGTCCTTAACGTCAACAAGTGTGCATTATCTGGCAGCTCTGAAGAGGCAACGAACCCACATACTTAAGCTGCATGAAAATCTTGCATTTACATAGAAATTTTCAAGTAAAGTGTAAGCCTTTTATAAGACACATGCACTGAGGAGCAATTCTTGTCTTTTTATATGAGGTGTCTCTCATAAGCAGGGTACCACGTATGCATTTTCATATCAACTCCTATTTTAATGTAAACACACTTGTGTATCTTATACGCATTTGCCTCTTACATCAGTACCTCTTATAAAGGAAGCCGGCAGTACAATAAATGAGGCAATGGTAATGAGCAGGAAATGGAGCCTCGTGACCACTGCTAAACAAAATTGCCATAGAACATGATATGAGTGAAGTTTTGTGCCACCAGTGCCCCATGATGGCCTTGCAAAAATGTGCATCAACGCTGTTCCCACTTGCTACGAGGCAGCTAGGAGCCACAACGATATTGCAAGTGTCAAGAAACTTCAGCTTGGGATAGTTGGTATTGCATTCCAATGTGGTTGCACTTAGTGGGAGGCACGCAATACCCGTACAGTTTTCTCCGTTGTCTGTGCCTTTCCCTCGGTGCAACTGCATTAGACATGCCTCAACGTCAAATCACTTGAGCACACATGCCTCTACCCAAAGGGCCTAGGTTCGATTCCCATCCCAACTGCATCCTATCTTTTTAATTTTAAATACTTCAGCTTGTTTTCAGGAGCTTCTGCGAAAAACTTGCAGTCGATTCGTGACTTTTTTGGCTCGTTTCTATTCTGTGCCTTCAATAGGCTTCCTCACCCGCGCCCAATTGACAATTACACAGGATTTTCTGCTACACGAGTTCCTCAAAGCTGTACGTTAAAAGGTCCAAAGTGTTGTAGGTGTGTTGAATTCTGTGCCACTCCTACGGTGCCCTGATTGCCACTTGCTGATAATGTGAGCAAAGCCCGTAAACTATTAGCATCCAAAATGGCAATGCTACAATATCATGCCCTAAGAGGTTGTTGAACAGTGTCATATTGCGTAGTCAACCAGAAGCACAAAAAAGCTTGGAAGGAAAGATTCCACCTACATACCACCATAAAGTTTCCTAAATATACACTAGAGGGAACTCTGGCACTAGTGTGTTGGAAGCTGCAACGGGCGGCGCTTCAGTGAGCGCGGGAATCAAATCAAATCAAATGAAGTTTTATTGATGGGTAGTACATGGATTCGTGTAATCTTTGCAGTTATGGGTCCGTGTGTGTTTGTGCGGCTTGGAGCTGTTTTCTCACTAAACGAAAACTGGCAAATGTTCAGTGGTTGCACTTCAACACCTTATTCCTTTAGGCTTATCAGTTGAAATATGGTCACGAAGTTAAAAAGGGTTCGTTCTTTTCTTCGAAATAAAACAGAAACCAGCCATAAATGAAGCCGCAAGTGTCATTCATTGCCCGCAAGTACGAAGACTAGACAAATCCGTGTACTGCCCATCATTGCCATGGTCGCTGAAGGATCGCAGCGACAGAGTCCCCGCTGGTTAAATTTAGGAAACTCTATGCATGCCTCGAGTTGGAAGAAATTTTCAACAGTTTCCCCATCTAGGTTAGTAAAATACAATGCTTCAAGGTACACATAAAGCATAAATTAATCAGCAACCCTATAACGAGCATTTCATTTAGCAGCTGCCAGATTTCCTACATCCAAGAGGGCTTAAAAAATTGCCGGAGTGGAAATTATGCCCCAGAAGTGAAGCCATGTTTCCAAAATAATGGTGGGCGCGGCTGCCATCGCTTGCAGATTTCAAATATGAATTTCGGTGCAAAGGTTGGCTTCGAGGAACTTCTTCATAATAACGAAAGAAGGGTGGCCTAATTCAACACACGTCTTCGTATATTTTTTTTAATGCGGAGCGTTTTATAGTCGGGCCTCGGCATCGCATTGCCCACACCCCCACTGCGCATGCTCATCTCGTCTCGTGCCCTGTCCCATTCCCACTGAATGCGGGAGGTGTGCATATTAGCGGTGGAGCGGGCGTTTGAAATTCAGTCAAGTGCGTCTCCTCACCGTCCAACACGACGACGGCACTAAGCAATAAAGACACACTTTAACTTTCCACTCCCTGCCTTCCCTTCACCTCCGCTCAATAAATAATAATAAAGATAAAATAACAATTAAACATTCCCAAACTACACCCAAATTACCTAACATTCACGCGATACCACTACCACCACTCTGTGACGATTGAACTTGAGTTCCCCCGTGGGAATTACTTGGGCGCCAATTGTTATGTTCTCATTTTTACTCGGTTTGCGTATATACCTAGTTGGTGATGTGGGCAATATGTAGGGGCAGGTTGCAAGTGAGAAAATGTGGTATTCATACAGCCCTTCTAATCACTCTGCTCTTTTTCCAAGTGCATATGGCAAAAGCCCTCATCCACAAGGAACAGCCAGCTTGTTGGGTCGTTTTGACTGCGCGATGTATCAAGTGTATGCGTTGACATAAAAGCGTTGTCGTGTTCAAGAAAAGTTCGAAGTGAAGGACCACTTGATTGCTACGTGGGCCCCACCAGAAAAAAAAGCGTGTTTCCAAGATCAATGGGGGCCAAATGCTAGGTAGCTTCACATTTGCCGGTAAGGTATTGCGAGAGCTTCGACTCCAGCATTTGTTTTAAACCTCCTTGCCCCGACCCAAGAAATGTGCTAGGTGTTTTCATACCTGCCCTCTCTTGAGTCCGAAGTACCGTGCTACGGGGTCTCCCGCCTGGATCCTCATCAGGTGGTTCTCTTTCAACTTGCTTCATTGCAGGGGTCAGTCAAGGAAGTACCAGTTACACGCAGTTATATGCATATGCCAGCACACTAAATAACCCACGAAACCTGACGAAGACTGCGAGTGTTACGTCGCACTCTAGATGCATTCCTTTTCATAAACTGTTTCAACGCTACCTACACAGCACTGTATGATAATGAAACACATCCAACTTCTCCCATCACCTGAGCACCACAGATCTGGGAAACAGTGCCAGAACGGGCCCCTTCCTAGGTAAGTAGCATGGGCATGAGCGTCATCATTAAAGATGGCACGTGCCTTGATTTTTAGTGGTTGAAACGCAACGACAGGTGCGGACCAACTAACATCTCATGCCACAGACTTCAAAATGCTTCACTCAAAGGAACGAGCGAGTGCAGGCCTTCAGAAATGCCTACCGGTGAGCGACGGACAACTTTGAAGGCCAGCTGTTTCAACTTCAGAGGTCTCCACTGGAGGTGCTGTTCAGACAAGGAAAAGGCCCATTGCAAAACGCTTTCAACTTCAAATAGTCAGAAGGCAATCGGAATGTCTATAGCTACTACCGTCTTTACTCGATTTTACCGCGCCCTCGATTGTAACACGCACACGATTTCCACGACGGAAAAAAAAAAGTGAGACATCAATCACAACGCGCACCCATTTTTCTCGCTGGCCCGCACGATCACACCACTCGAAAAAAGGACTCCTTTCGGGAGCGTCTTCCATTTAAATATGAAGTACGGGGGAAGCTTGTGCTCACATTGACGTGTAACAGAGCATTGCCGTCACTCTAGTTTTACAGTGGCTTGATGTCAGCACGCGAACTTTCTTCGCCCCCTTCTTCTCGACGGTTGTGGTGCCAGGCATGTCAAAGTAAAGAGACGTCTGATCGGCATTCTCGATTTGCCCAAGCAGGGAGCCATTGTTGTGCTGCAAGTTTAGGACGAACCTCTGAAAACTGAAGCTTTTCTTTGTACTCCTCCGGCAACTTTTGGGATATGGCCGTTCGCCTTTAGAAGGAAAAGCCTTTCCTCTTCATAAAGTTAGTTAGCCAGCACCTGCTTGCTTTAAACTGGCTCCGCATTAGCCCTTTTTCCAAGGCTAATTGCATAGCCCGCACTTGGAGCAGTTCTGTCGTCACGGGCCACTGTGCCGCTCGCTGCTCAAGCACATACTTGGCGAGCAGCTCTTCAATTTGCGGAAACCGACCCTGCTGTGGTCCACTGAAGCCTTTGCGTGAATCTTTTCTGTCGACAATCTCCTGCTTTTGTTTCCACCAGTCCCACACGCACGTTTCGGGAACTCCGAACGACCGTGCTGCGGCCCGATTTCCGTCCGTTTCTGCACACGCGATGACTTTTCTTTTAAAAGCGGCATCGTGGTGCACTCGAGTTTTTGAAGTCGGCCCTTCCATGCCGTCGATGCTAATGCACTACAAGATGACGAACTCCTCAGCACACGTACGAAGCGCCGCACATGGGAAACACATAGGCAGAAATGGCCGACGTGCCATGCCGACGCACGTAGGGGCGGCCATTTTGGAAATGCCGATGGCAATAGAATGACCGTATTCATTTTTTTTTCGTACTCGATTCTAACGCGCACGCGATCTATGAACTCGCCTAACCGAAAAAAGGTGCACGTTAGATTTCGAGTAATTACGGTAACTCATCTGCACGACAACAGGGAAGTCCCTCTATTGTAAGGTAGCACACGCATGGAGTTAACACGAAAGAATGAGGCATCTGCTTACTTCGCATTTTATCTGTTTGTGCACCAACCGACAATGGATAGGTTTCAACTTGCCCACCTTTCAGTCCTACCACCGAAAGTGTGTCATGTTAAATGCTGCCATCGTTCAAAGAAGCAATCACTGAAGGACGCTATTGACGAAAACAATTTCGAACTTCTTGCTGAACCTAAATGCTATGAAAATACTGTACCGCTTTCAAACTAAAATGTACTATTATTTGTTTTTCACCATGTTTCGAAAAAGAAAGAGAAGAAAAACTACACCAGTTTTTTATTTGTTGGTTGCAACATCACAGATGATGATTATGTCTATTGAATGCCAGTGTAAAAGTTCCCACAATTTCTGCAGGTTTTTTTAGAGAGGCCTGAATACATTATTTTGCACATTTATTGCGTGGGCTCAAACTAGCAATAGGCATGGGGCCTAGACACTTATGCACTCAATTATGTATGCACATCTTGAATTAAATGAAACTGATATGAAATGAGCCATTTTGTCTTTGAAATGCACACCAATTCAGCCTCATTCACATCTGTATTGCACATTACGATGCTGGTAATACAATCATAGATGCAAGTGATCAAAGTCTGTACAGGAAGCGAAAACTGCAATGTTGCCTAAGAGACCGATAAGTGAGAAGGAAAGTCAGGAAAGTTAATCAGGCAGCACCACATCAGCTACCTAACACGGGCAGAAGGGTAGAATAAGAATAAAGCATGATAATATTAATAATATCTGGCATTTTAGGTCTCAAAACCATGATACGAATATGAAGAACGCCATAGAGTAGGACTTGGGAAACTTTGACCACCTGGTGTTCTTCAATGTGCACCGACATCACACTAGTACAAGGGCCTCTACCATTCTCCCTCCACCGAAATGCAACCACCGCGGTTATGACCGAACCTGCAGTCCAGTAGCTGAGCGCCCATAACTACCGATAAGTCGCGACTGACAATAGTAAAAAAAAAAGCAGGAAGGAAAGCCTGACAGGCAAGAGGTCTGTCAGTGATCCAATGAAGTAAGTGACACATGTCTAGGAACTTGTCACTGCAGGAGCGGAGCGAGCTACGTTTCTACAACCAGCGGCCATAATGCACAGTTAACACGCGCACACAGCCACAACATAGTAGTAATGTCATTTCGCTAGCATCACAAATGTAGTGGACTGACAATATTACTTCCACATCCTGTAGTGATTCAACAAGCTGCTCTATTCCGTGGACAGCATTGAAAATGAAACGCACCGGCATGGCCATATGTGTGCAGGACCAGTGAGAATGCACTTATACTTGCACTGCCTTTGCAGCGTCGCCTGTTTAACTGTTAAACCAGGCACAAGCACTTTCGAGAGCCTTTCATGTGTTTCCATGCCAATAGCAAAGTGCATTCAAAAAGTTTTTCGGAAAAGTGCAGGACGCAAGTGCACAGAAAGACACCGAACAAGCAAATCGGTTGTTAGTCTCGAGTATCGGTCTATTCCTTCCCCCTCTATAGCCTTTTTTTTTTCTGCCTGAAACTCTTACGATGCACATAACACAAAATGAACCAGCCCCACTTTTAGTTCTAAGTACCGATATAAAAGCCACATCTTTATCCCAACTTCATGATGCTGGAAGTTCAGATGCGCACTGCCTGAAAGTGGTGTCTCTAGCACTTCCATTTGTGCCTATGTGAACGTTAAGGGTAGCCCCCACAAGACTGATCAAATCATCATTTTGGACTGCAGGCCATCGCTGTGGCAATGTGAGGGCCATGTGAACTGAAAACGTCAAGTGCTTTTTTTTCTTTCCCGGCAGATTAAAGAATCTCGAAGAGATTACAAGCCTTCAACACAGCAACATTTTAGTTATCTTGCCCCTACACGTCAGTGAGCAGAGCAAGCATGAAAGGTTTTTCACTTCACATGTATGGCACCACCTAACAGGCACCAAAGAATTTTCACCGCACTCGTACGGCATTGCCTGTGCATTTAAATTGTGTGCCTTTTTCAATCGTTTCTCTTGCTGGGCACGTACTGCCACACTTCGGGAATACGTAAATTTTATTTCTATGCGGCGATGCCTCTCCAATTTTTTTTTTTCTTTCCAAAGTGGCACAGCTCGTTTCGGTTTCATCCTTCAGGTGGTTATCGCTTGTCTAGCCTGCACAGCTAATCGCTGTCTGGTTTCTGATCTCTCAAAGGGTGACTGCTTGTTACTCTTTTCTTTATTACTCCCGCGGACTATGCTGCGCTAACTTATGAATATGAAGCCGTCATGGTTGCGTTTCCTGTTTGGGGGATTCAGAAAAACTAACTCAGTGTCGTCGGCGATAAGTAAAAAAACTATCATTGCTCTTTGACTCGCTCTGCTTTCTGAGTGGGTGCACTGCCGCACAGTTTCCTTCCGTGTCTTCCCTCTTGTGTTCGCTTACGCTGCAGAAGCGCGTGGCGGACACTTCATGGAGAAGTTGCCAACCACCAATGCTAAGGCATACATGAGGCAGAAAAGATGCCACGTCTGTGCCAATTCCAATCAGTGACAAGAAATTCGCAGAAAAACACGCTACATGCGTGTTGAATGCCACAATCCACTCTGAGTGGAGCCATGCTTCAAAGACTGTTACACACTGAAATGTTCCTGAAGTTAGGGCAAGAACATTTTCCACTGAAAAAATACTCAGATGTGCTTTTTTTTGTACATCTGTGAGCTATGCTTGGTACAATGCATAATTTTTAAATAAAAATTGTAAATGTTCCTTTAAAAGGATTTTGCTGGATCTTGCCACACACACACACACACACACACACACACACACACACACACACACAAAAAAAAACGTGTGAGCGTAACAACAAAAATTATGCGTTTTTGGACTGCATTTCATGAAAAAACTCGACACTGAAAGGGTTAAAAGGGTCACGAGACACACTTTAGCCTAGGTGAGAGAATAAATTCTGCAAAGAGCAATCACTGCTACGAACATTTCAGTCAAATGTAACATTGTTATAATGAGGTTTGAGTGTAATCAGGCATGTGTGGGGGAAAAGCATGCTGAAATACGGCGACGATTATTTAACTTGGTCCTTGCAACACGAACCCCGGCGAGCAGCACAAGTTGCAAGACATTACTGCGGCGCAATGAGAAGACTGTTCTCACATGGTAAATGCTAGTCTTTCAAAGTTGCTCTCTAGTTGCCAGTTGCAGTCAGTAATGCCACTGCCTTGCCCATCACGGGTGTTACCGTCCCCTTCGTGAGAAGCACGTGCAGTGAAGCGCTCAAGCGAGCGTAACACTTGGAGTGTAAAAGGATACTATCGTGCAAGCAGCTCAGTCTTCTCTTCTGGCGTGAGGACCACGTGCTCCGGTACAAGCTGCACGAAAAAGACAAAAACAAAAGGGGTCAGCAGCGCTTCTGAGGTCACTCCTAAGGTTACAAAACATTATATATTTCCCATCTTGTACAGCCTTCATGATGACCTCATAATCTCTGTCCTAAGTTTTCCACCACTATCATCCTCACTGCCAACCTACTGCACGCTCATTACACGTCAAAGTGTTCTCCAAGTAATGCCACCTTACAGCAGATGAACCCTCCTGTCACTTGCTAACTACCTATTTGAAGCACAACACCTAATTATTACCCCAAAAGAAAAATGTTAATAGACAATATATACATAACTAGCACAGTGAGAATATGCACTGATTAGCAGAACAATCACCGAGATACAAAAACAGAAGCGAGGTGAAGAAATGTCTTGTTATTACGTCTGCTATTTATTTATTTAGATATCGTTGGCATAGCAGGCAATAATATCGTAGTTCAAGAGCTGGAATGCATTTATACTTTACCTTTGTTGATGGATACTACTACAAGAGGCTATCACTAAAGGAAACTATGTTAAAGGAGCAGTGACACAAAATTTTAGGCAAGATTATGAGCAAAATAGATTTATGTGGAGACATACACAACATCTACATGATATCAGGGGCGGACATAGCTTAGAACATATCTTAAAAAAAATTTTAAGTGCACACTGCGGGACTGTGCGAGATGCGGAGCCCCTTGCGATGCCAACATCAATGCAGGGGCAACACGAACAAACCTATGTCAAGAGTTTGTGTTGGCTGGTTGCTGACACGTTGCTGACACGTGCCTTGCATTACCTGCGCTATTTCCTCCTACATGCCGCAGCCCGTGTGCTGTCGATGCAGCACCCGCTTTCGCGCACAGTGCGAATGTCACAGTTTTACGGGGTCACACGGCCAACTGTGTTTACCTCGCTCCCGGAACTAACTGCTCACCCTAGCTTGGTGCTCTTTGGAACCGAAACTCAGACTGGGCACTCCAAAAACGCCTCTAAGCAAATAACCGTCACGCACTCGTGCAAACAAGGTTTCCAGCCATAATAAGCGGGTCATAAGCTATCTACTGCAACAACAACAACAAAACAAATTGCAAAATTTTTGCGTTCGTGCTCCTTTAAATGAAATCGCTGCTCAAATGCAACTGCGTCTTGTATGACTAGCTTGCTCGATTAAACAGAACATATTATCCTGCTCCAATGAAGTTCACTCGATAAGTCTACTGCATTAAAATGTACAGTTGCCCAAATGTCTAACTATCAAGCACAAGCAGCAGTTGTTTACTGTTTATATTAACCATTTGACTGAATTAAGTTTCAAAAAGATTAAGGGCAAGTGCATGGCCACAAAGGTACATACCTACAGAACAATTTTTTGCAACTTAGTTTCATCGAATGGTGTCTGAACACCGAAAAGTCGGGCAGTTGTGCTACCCGGACAAGCACACTTGGGAACTACAAGATGGCCTGTTTTCTTTCTGTGCATGTGTGAAGTACAAACAGCTGACGCAGCATAAGTAAAATAACAAATATCGCAAAAGAGCCACAAGAACGAAAAAATTGCAGATGAAAAGCATATAATTGATCATTCTATAGCTATACAGAAGCGCTGCTGTTCTTGTTTCGACATTGGCTTGGACAATTGCGCTCTCACTGTACCGCCAGCCATGCACAAGCTCACCTCGTGCTCCGTGATGTTGATAAGCAACTCCGATTCCAGAAAGTGCTCCAGAATGTACTTGGGTGCCATGTCTCCAAGAGCCTGCAGAACAGAGACGACGTTGAATAAGCAATACTAGTCACAGGGCTAGCAGGTGAACGTTTACTGGAACACACACGAACAACCACAGATGGAAGATGGGAAATGGGTGTCCCGCTCGACAAATGGTTTGTTTTGCTTGCTACGCATTTAGTGAGCTGTGAGTCTATGCAAAAAGCTTCTCCTGTTACCGCTTGTCTGCTCTCGTGAGTCGCCTCGTTATGCCTGTATTGTGCACTTATGAGTGCCGTTCCAATTAGTGAAAGTTTCTCACGCTAACAGATGTTGCTGAATCAGTCTATTCATTAAGGTGCAGATCACTTGTTGACCGCTACCCCGGTAACACTGTGATCAGTACACTGGGTTGCATATAACAGGCAACTGTGGAGCGCAAACACTTTGTGTGTTGGCACTTCTAGCTCTTGCTGTTGCCAGGCTATGTGAGAGAAAATGAAACATATGACCCTGTGGGATTCAATCACTTCCTTTCACATTGGATATCTTTAAAGTGAATATCTTCAGACTGTGAACCCCTATTACTGTGTTTATCTAAGTGTCCATCGCTCAATGCAACCCAGAGCCAATATAAGGGTCGCTGTAGTGGACAGCTTCCGAAATTTTAACCACCTGTGGTTCTTTGTGTGCACCTAAATCGAAGTACACAAGCCTAAAGCTTTTTTGGCCTGAATAGAAAATGCAGCCGCCACAGCCGCAATTCAATCCCGCAACCTGCGAGTCTGCAGTCGAGCACAGCGACTACTAGAATATGTGGCAAATAAAAAAAAGGTCATTCTTTGAAAAAGAAAAAAAATGTGCGTTATGTCAATGTTGTGGCTAATGACAAAGAATTACGGCTGAGCTCTTAGTAGTGGGAAGCCTCAAATCGCTCACTTATTGCACAATTCATATTGAGTGACACCTGGTTGTCTTGAAAAGTAGGGAAATACTCTATTATTCATCATTGTGCAAAAAAGTGACGTCCCCGTTACACATCTGTAAGGAATTATGTGCGTTATGTCAATGTTGTGGCTGATGACAAAGAATTACGGCTGAGCTCTTAGTAGTGGGAAGCCTCAAATCGCTCACTTATTGCACAATTCATATTGAGTGACACATGGTTGTTATTTTACTCCTCTATCACGCTGTACTACACCCATTAATGTGACTTCAAGTCTGACATGATGCCTGAATAAGGTCTTTTAGAGAAGGTGTTCCAAACAACAGCGTGGCTCCGTGGTAGAACACGCGACTGCCGCATGGAGGGCCTGGGTTCAAATCCCACTCGATCATGATTTTTTTTTCTAGCCGTGTGGTTGTTCACCACCGGTTACAAACCCCATTGGTAGACAACGACGACACCTAAATCGACTGCTGTTGTCATCTCATTAAAGTGTTCGCTGCAAAGCATACGGTGTATGTAGTAGATAACATTGGCATTGAGTGTTTGTACGCTTGCATGATATATCACTGGTATTCTGCCATGTCCTGCAGACTGTGTTCACACATTGTCGTTAAAAAAAATTGAAATGGTGTGCAATAGACTTTCAGGCAACGGAAATCTTTTCAATGAAGCTGCTGCTTAAAGGCCAATTCCGGCGATTTTTCGAGGTCAGAGGATCTCAATGAAATTCACTGGGTACGTTCATTTGCACGCTTGCGCCATTCATGCCAAATTGCAGGCTTGAGAGTGTCGCAGATTCTTTTCAAATGAATTTTATAGCTTGCCTCGAAACGCTCACCTCGCTTGCCAGAATTAATGGCAACATTGTGTGTGTGACGTTGGGTTTCGCCTGGTGGAAGTGACAAACTGATGTGCCACTGCAGCGTCTGCTATGGATTGTGTGGGTTTGGCCGGCGCTTTCTTGGTTGAGTGTGCGATTTCCTTTTCCGCGTTGGTGGGCGTGCGATAGGTGCCAAGTGGTGTTGCGTTGTGAGCCACACACGAGTCAATATATATTCGCCATAACAGCGTAAGCGTTTTAGCCGATCGCAGCAGGTGGCGTGGACAGGTAGTGCCATCTAGCGGACATTATATGCAGTCAGGCAGGTTCAGGCAGCGTGAGGCAAATCTTTACGTCACGGTTAGAAGCGCACTTGGTTTTGTTTCGGTTTCGGTATTGCGGTTTTTCGGTAATTAAAAATTATTTCAGAATTTTTTGCAGCGTTTCAGTTATTGGGCACATGAGAAGAGTGCCTAAGAAACATAAAAGCACCAATATCCTTACATGGTAAAAAAGTCGCCAGAGTTGGCCTTTAAATGCAACAACTGCCTCTGACATGATCGCTTTCATACCTGAATGCTGCAATCCAGTGTACCTCTCCGTCAACGAAACTTCTGTCAAACAGAACAGACCTTCCTGGTCCCTTCATGTTCCATTTAACAAGAGTACAACTTTACGCCAACATACAATCGGCAAAGTAAGCAGACGACTGCACCTGCTTCGCTGACGGTGTCATGCCTGCCTGGACGACGATGATGGCACGTGAAATGTTTTCCTCCTGCATCCGCTGGCAGTAAGTCTTGATCGTCTTGATACCAATCTTTGGCTCATCAGGGAAGAACACAAACATCTGATCTGCAAAGGCAATCGAACGTGTTGTTAGAATTAAACCAGAACAGAAGAAGAAAACACGTCTGCTAGTGCAACGGAAGCCACGAAGGAAACACTTTACACTCTCATCTGTCGAACGCATGCTCAGTCAAATCGGTCTTGAGCCGTGGGCAAGACAAAAGTGAGTCTGAATTTAATAATAATATCTGGGGTATTACATCCCAAAACCACGATATGATTATGAGAGGCGCCGTAGAGCAGGGCTCCGTAAACTTTTAGTGTTTTAATGCGTACAGACATCGCACAGTACACGGGCCTCTACCGTTTTGCCTCCATTGAAATGAGACTGCCACAGCTAGGATCGAACCTGCAACTTTCAGGTTGCAGGTCCAAGCATCTTAGCCAATGAGTAAGTCTCTATCTTTTTGCATAGGCACAGTTCAGCCTACAGAGTTTGCCGTGACTGTGTAGCATGGTACACTATGCAGACTGATGAAATGCAGAATGTTGATTATGCTAAGGTAATATTGTGCTGAAGGTACTGATGCAGGACAGTCTTGCTCGGACCCGTTCACCTAGTCTTGAGACTGAGCCCCTCGTCACGACTCCAGTGCACCGATTCACTCAACGCCTACTAGGACTAAGTCCGGAGTCTGCACCTGTTCCGCCTTTTTCCAGCATGGCAGCTCCTACGACATCCACGGTTATCCCGCCATCGCAGACCACTCTTCTCTCGCAGTTGACTCTTGAACATCCTCGCGTTCCTGAAGTTTTCCGTGGGGAACAGTACGAGGATGTCGAGGACTGGCTCCCACAGTTCGAACGGGTCGCTGTATCCAATCACTGGAGCGAACAGCACAAACTTGGCCGTGCATCTTTCGTACTGGAAGATAGCGCTCGCAAGTGGTATGAGAACTGCGAAGCTACATTCCAATCTTGGTAAGATATCGGTTGAAAGCTTCTCGCTACATTTTTGAACTCGGACCGACGGGATCGCACACAGCAACTGATTAAAGCATGCAAAAACCCAATGAAACAGCCGCCATGTATGCAGAGGGCATGATCCGTCTGTTTCGATGAGCTGACCCTGACATGCCGAGGCGAAGAAGGTGCGTCACCTAATGCAGGGTGTTAAGGAACAAGTGTTTGCGGGCCTCGTACGAAATCCACCTACAATAGTACATGAATTCAAAAGAGAGGCGACTGTCATCGAGCACGCACTGCAACAACGACGCCGACACTTTGATCGCCTGCCGAACCACACGGCAGTAAGCGCTGCAGTTCAGAACACTGCCGTATGCGAAAGTTTCCTGCAACAAATGATTAGGGAAATTCTGCATGAGGAACTTCGGGCCCTCTGCGTTCCGCCTACCAAACCGCCATTTGCATCTGTTGCCGAAATCATCCGGCAGAAGCTGAGGCAAGACATTACACCACCCGCACCAAGTCCTGAGCCACATCCAGCGAGCTACGCTGATGTGGTCCGTCGCCCGCCACCGACATTTGTGGCGAAGCCCTTCCAGCCACGACCCGCAGCCGTACCTTAGTGGCAACGGGATGCTATGAGACGACCACCAGTTCGCCGAATTGACTTAAGACGCATGGCCAACCGTCGACCTATTTGCTTCCGCTGCAGAGAACCCAGTCACATTGCCCGCTATTGCCGCCATGGCGATTCCGGGTTCGGGAACTTTGCTTGTCCCGCTTCTTTCCGCTACGAAGACCGTCGTGCTCACGATGCCAATCAACTATCGCCTGGCCAAGCGACCCCACCACGTCGCTGGCGATCTCCATCACGTGCGCGTCCCCATGACTTTCCTCAGAGCTACGCAGACGTCACCAGAGGCCCTTCGCCTAGCCCGCACCGGAGAAACTAACTGCTGCGACCTCGGGAGGCAAGGTTGCCAATCGTCAAGACACTGAAAAGTTTCCCCTATCATCGCAAGAAGGTATGACGACAACGACGACGAATACTAATGCCGATGAAGTTGTACGCGCCGATCTTAGCGTTCTCATTGATGGAAATCACGTTACAGCACTGGTTGACACTGGCGCCGACTTCTCAATCATGCGACAAGAGCTCGCCGACCGCCTTAGAAAGGTCAAGACACCGTGGGTAGGGCCCCGCACATAAGTGCTGGTGGTCAGCTGATGACTCTCACGGGTAAATGCACCACATGACTTCGCATCGAGGATTCTAGCTTCGTGGCCACTTTCGTCCTGTTGCCAGACTGCTGTAAAGAGTTAATTTTGGGAATGGATTTTCTTCAAGATCATGGCGCTGTTATCAACATCCCTCAACGTATGGTGACGTTTTGCGCACATCCGTATGCCGACAACAGCAGCGACGAACCACGCGGCTGTTTGCGAATATCCGACGATGCTACACTCCCACCGAGATCTTGCTGCCTTGTGTCGGTGTCCAGTGGGTGACCCTGCTATAAAGATGTGGTAGCGGAGCACATAGTTGTTCTTTTGTTCACGCAAGGCATTTCCATTGCGAGGGGCGTCCTGGCGCTTACTGGTGGACAGGCAGAAGTGCTCCTCCCAAACTTCAACAACGAGCGCCGTCAAATCCAGAAGGGTACCGCGATTGCATACTACGACGATGCAGACCAAGCCGGGGATTGTTTTGCTTTTCAATCAGATGAAGCGGCTGTCCCTGCCTCGACAACTTTGTCGGTGGACATCTGCTCCACACTACCGCCCTCTGATAGGAAGCGCCTGCTTGAACTTATACACCAATTAAAAGACTGCTTTTCGTGTACGTCATAGGTCCCGCAAACACTATTGACTAAGCATCGCATCATTACTGAAGACAACACCCGATCCGATTCGGCAGAACCCCTGCCGTGTGGCTCCGAAAGAGCGCGAGGAGATTCAGAAGCAAGTACACAAGATGCTCGCGGATGATGTAATACAACCTTCGAAAAGTCCTTGGACGTCCCTCGTGGTTTTGGTCAAGAAAAAAGACGGCAGCTTGCGCTTCTGTATTGATTATCACCAGTTGAAACAAGTCACGAAGAAAGACGTCTATCCACTACCCCGCACCTCCACCAGTGTCACGACGTCAAAACAGAGGTCTTGCCACAGAGATTGAGACACCAGAGGCAGGTCGGTTCTTTTAAATGAATGCGCAAGAGAGTTCTTCTTTTTTCATCCATTTCATTGTACTTCATGGCACATGCACAACTGCCATTGTCTTTCTTTTTGACAAGCACGTGACAATATGAATGGCGAAGCGACCAGCACGAGAAGCACTGTCTTTCATATATATTGTACATACAACAATACGATGCTTACAGTCTATGATGATTACTCAACCGCGATTCATCAATATTGTTAGCTTGCACGTGACATAGTGGACGCCAAACATGGCTCCAACGTGGTGGCTCAGATGACATCCAGGCAGAATAGTCACAAAATTAGGCTGCTTCAGCATAATAACAACATCACTGGAACCCTGTTGGACCTCTGTGCACCAACAACGAAGAAACCAGCATGTGATGTGCAAATAAATGACAAAACAAAGCTTGTGGTCCACCATGCTGATGCTCCAACGTAGCCTTCTTATAATGTTAGAGCAAGCAATCTACTAGAATATAATATATTCGAGAAGCAAGTTGGGCTAGTGGAATCATAGATTGAGCAATATTTTGAAACAGCATGATGAAAACAGGGTGAAAGCTTAACGGTAACGTGTGCGGGTTTATGTTCGTGATTTCGTCCTGTCTTCTTTGCGCAGTTTCAAACTTTGACTCAATTCAGGAGGCACTGACACATATGCACTATGGTTTCACACACTTATTACGTGGGCTTTTTAACGCGCCGAAAACCCGATCTGATTACGAGACATGCCGCAGTAGAAGGCCCTGAAAATTTAGAGGGTCATGTGTTCTTCAACGTGCATAGTACACGGGCCTACGGTATTTCGTCCTCATTGAAATGCGGGCAAGGTTCTGTTCGCGACCGTACATACATACATACATCATACATACACCTTTACTCACCAGTGGGGTCGTCATTGTGGGCGACGAGCACGATTAAGTCGTTCCTTGCGGGCCTCCTTTCACTGGAATTAAAAAAAAAAAAAAACAAATTAAGAGGTTGCAAAGCATCACAGAAACTTCGACAAGGCACGCGGACTTCACAACTGACGGCTCACCTGGGCTTGTCACCAAACTGCTGCTTGAACTGGTCAAGGGTCTGGTCCAATTCATCTTGTGTGACCAGGTATCCCCTGTCGTGGCACAGCTGAAGAAGACAAGACGCGAAAATTCTCCGTTTATACAAGCCGAACACAGCGCTATGGGGGCTGCCATTTTGGCATGGCCCGGCTTCGACGAAATGCGCGACGACGGATTAAAACGCATTTCAGTCGAATACCTGCATAATAGTCTTTCGGATCCTCCACAGCTTGTAGGTCTCCGCTTCGTCATCCATCGTTGGTTGCGATCACGAGTTACGGTATAACAAGCTGTACTCTCACGTAAATGCACAAGAGCTAACACACGACATGCATACAAAATGCACGCACGCACGAAATTGTACTAGACAAATAACCACAACAACCTTTAGAACACACTGGACAGCTAAATCGGCACAACGCTTGAAGCAGAGTAACATAATGGTTACGCGACGCCTATGTCAACTTGAGTTACACGAAAAATAAAAACTTTAATTGAAAAACACTATTTCTCAAAATATGGCATAATAACTTTATATATTTACTATGTACAAATTGATATTTAAATAAATAGCTAAATATTTTTGTTTTTAATTACGAAATTAAATCACCATCGGCATCACGTGCGGCCGTCTGCATTTCTGTTTTTGACCCGTGCCGTGAACTTTCGTGCAAGAAGTGGGTATGAGTCTCTTAAGAAGTGTAAGTTCCCAGTTTCCGCGGCACGCACTACGTTTACCGAGCTTCATGCAGTCGGCGGCACTCTTCATCACCAGGTATAACCCAACGAAGCATTATTTGCAGGCGATCAAACTCTGTCCCAGCCTGGCAGCGGGGTGCACCGTTTCATCATGCCGGTCCGTGCACGCGAGTCGATCGCTGTGCCACCCGCTCATACCGATCGTAATCGAGCAGACCGGGCGTGGGGAGCGAGCCTACGACATCTACAGCAGGCTACTCAAGGAGCGCATCGTGTGCGTCATGGGTCCCGTGAGTTGACGCCAAACCTTTCATGCTTTCCCATTTAGTGAAACCGCCTGTACGTACATCTTGACTGGAGAGAAGAAATGCCTCCCGTCCGAACTGTGGCGAGGAAGTAGAAAGGCTAACGTCACAGCTTTTGTAGCTTCCAGCTGCATTACTGAACAGTAAATGCAGCTCTTATATAGCGGTGCAATCCAGCTAGCAGTGGATGATTATTCATCCGCAACTTTGTCAGCGCCCATGGTGCATAGTGAAATCGGCCACAATGCAGCTAGATATTCGTCGACTTCGAGAATAATTATAGTGCCATATAGCTTGATTACCGAGTGAAAATGTGCAACATTGAATCTAACTGCTTTCGACTGGCATTAACTGGAATCAGCTGGTTTCGGTCGGAAAATAACTAGTCCCTGTTGCAAGACAACTGGTCTAGCTATGGAAGCAAATGGTTCCAGCTAGACGCCATTTGGGAAATAACTAGTACAATGACTGGTTGCCACGTGGACCCACGTGGGGTTTAGCAAGTTGTTCCAGTTGAGCTCGAACCGGATATCTTTCCGGCTGTAAAGGCTCGATAATCCAGATCGCTATGCCACTTTTTTTTTTTTACGTGGGACAATCGGTATGTATAAGCCAATTAAGAAGGTGTGTGGCTATCTGATGCCATGAACCACACTAAACCTAGGGTACACGGTAACCTAGCATTGTACGTAAAGTCAGTGCCACTCATGTGATGTCATTATAACATTGACCTACCAGGATACCTCATTGTTCAGCTTTGCATCTGTAATTATTGGGAAAAAAAATGTAGTTCAAAAGAGGCAACGGCAATGGAAACGCACGACAGGGGTGCTTACTGAACTGAGGTCTGTAGAAGAAACTTCTAAATATATATACTGCACAAGATTTGCATTAGGTATATCGCAAACAGTGTATAGCCAGCTGACCTCTGCATGGTGCCACAACAATATAGAAGCAATGGACTTGTCTGCAAGATAACGCCACAAATACTGCTGGCTCTTTATGTTAGTGTACACCCTCCCCCACCTCGACTTCCCTCATGGAATGGTTGGGAACCCTACCATCAATAGAATTTCGGCACTTTTTTTTTTTTCAGAGCCCTAGCCACTTGAGCTTGCAAGCGTTTGATAGAAACTGGCCTTTAGTTCTAGCTCGTCCTTACGCATTTTTTCAGTATACTTGAGAAGAGACAAAAGAGATGTGTCCCCAGCAAGCACCGTGACTCTTCAAGTTCAGTGAACTTCACACAAATTACATTGACTGTTGCTCGAGAAAAGTAGTCCCATATTTTGTGTTTGCATAAATAAAAAGTTCTAAAGGCCTTGCTGAATATGCATCAATTGACTTGTGTAGACTAATGGTACATGCCTTGGCCCCGCAGATTTCGGATGAGATGTCCAGCCTGGTCGTGGCGCAACTACTGTTCCTACAGTCCGAGAGCAACAAGAAACCAGTGCACATGTACATAAACAGTCCAGGTATGTGTCCGCATTCTTTTATGCTTGTTTCATATTCAGTCGTTTCACTTCCTTTAAAGTGAGCAGGCTTGTCAGATAAAAATGCAGTATCTAGATGAAAAAAAAAGAAGAAAACTTGGTAAATGCAAATGCCAAATAAGAGCAAGTTCGTTCCGGCTTAGAATGAAACGAGAGCTTTGAATGCAGTTGGAATAGAGACCTGTAAGAATGCAGGGGAATCATAAAAGGCTTCACTTCTTAAAAGTCGTATATTAAAGTGTGATGTGATGAACATGAATGTAATAACATTTGATATGGCATAATGAAGTAGAAGTTTCAAAGTATCTCTAATAGGTGTCGTGAAACAAGTAATTTGTGCTTATAACTGATATACTTTTGTGTGATATCAACCTTAACCATAATGAATTATCTCCTGGACTCACCAGTAAAATGTACCCCTGCCTTTGAAAGAGCAGATGCTTTGGAGCAGAGGGGTTGACTGAGACGCAAGGTCATTATTGACTTTGACACCAACGTGAGGAGTTGCACAACTTGTATGTGTAAGTGATACCTATTATAATAAATTGTAATTGACAGGCCGCATGCTGCTCATATAAAACTTCTGGCTCATGTGTTCTCAGGAGCTTTGGCTACCAGTTGGCACTGTTATTATACAATGTTCAAAAAGTGTTGCAGGGCCCCTTTAGAGATACAAGCGAGTGATACAGTCCACTTTACCTGTTATACTTTCTGAACGTACTATACGCCTGTTCAGCATCTTAAAGGGGCCCTGCAACACTTTTTGAGCATGGTCGGAAAACGCTGCCGATCGCAATAGTAGAGGCTTCCGACACACGCGAGCCATATTATAGCGCAGCACGCGGCCTGGAATTCACAATAAATTATCAAAGTCATCTAAAAATTGCTTTCTCTTTCCTCGACAAATGACGGAGGAAGCTCAGGAATCACTCGTAGAAGGCCATCTATCAGCCATTGGCTGATTTGAACATGGCATATTCGGAAGTTACAGGGATCACCGCGACTTGTCCATGCGTGCACTCACGATCACACTGAAAAAGCCGCGTACTTGAAGCAAAAAAAATTAAGAAAAAGTGCTCAAGGTCACAGGGGGCATGTGACGTGTTTCCCCTGCCCACACCATCATTCCCTGCTTGGTTTCCAGTGCTTTCGTTGGGAAGAGAGAAGGAATTCGATTGCAGCGTGTGAAAAACCTGTATAACTCTGCTCACACTGGATGGATTCTTAAAATTTTTGCGGCTTTGAATTCATGAGGCACAGAGCACTTTTAGTGAATCTATTCCATGGTTACTTGAAAAAGTGTTTCAGGGCCCCATAAATGCGACTGTGCATATCTGCTCTTGCAGGTGGATCGGTCACAGCCGGCCTGGGCATCTACGACACGATGCAGTACATCATGCCACCCATCGCAACATGGTGCATTGGCCAGGCCTGCAGCGCAGCCAGTCTCTTGCTTTGTGCTGGCACGCCAGGCATGCGCCAATCCCTGCCGAACTCACGCATCATGGTCCACCAGCCGTCTGGGCACGCTGCCGTGAGTGATGCCTGCATCTTATGTGTGTGCCTACTAATACACTGTAAAGTATTTCATTGCTCCATTGTTGGTGGGCGTGGTGTCCAGCTTTAAAGAGGCATCCTAATGTGGCTAGCAAGCGCATGTTTTTGTTCCACTCTCTCTCTGTTTCACTCACATGAGTGTGCTACTTAGAAGGGTGCTGGTCAGGGCTGGTTGGTAGAAATTCATAAGGTGGTTGTTCGCGCTCCTCTTAAGAACATATGACAAGAATAAATGACACATTTTCAAGCGTACCATGAACTATTATGCTAACGAACTCGAAAACATGTATACAGTATGCAGAGTTTGTGACAACATTCGGTGCAGAAAATAAAAAAAAGAAGAAACACATGCCACATAGTGCTAACGAAAGTCTTTTGTTGTGGAAATAGTGATTAATAAATCATTAACATTACATTAACAGTCCATTACATTAACAGTCATCTTATTACCAGCTAATTGAACATAGCATTCGAGCAGGAATATGAAACATCACCTGAAGGAAGAACCTCTTTTGTCAGGTAATCAGTTTTTCCGCATTTTGTTCGCTCAGAGGAAAGTACACAGGACTGAACTGTTTTGATATGAGACTATCTGTGCTGCAGGTTTGTATGAACTAGGGAGGCTATTAGTAGTATACTATGATACAGCACTGAGGCGCGTAATGCTTTTCTTGATTGCCTCATCTCTTCACCCTTGAGACAATGTATTTCAGACAAGACAAGCGATGCGATACGCTTCCTTGCAAATGCTAACCAACACAATGAGCTTCATCGATTTACACGTCCCGGACGGCTCCGCATTAGTTTTTCTAGGAGACCAACTGGAAGCTCCGCCTACTGGTCCGGGATCGCTCGGACGCATGTTCGTTTTTCGCATGCCTGGCAGCCTGCGGGCGGCCCGGGACCACCCGAACAATTTCTTTCGGGCAGCTGGCAGACGACAGCGCGGTGCGCATGCTGTGCGGCCATCTTAAGTTAGACAGGGGAAATTTTCTATGCGCTCTTGCTCTCTCTTTGATTTTCTGTCCGCTTCTCGCATGTTTCTGGATTTCGCATTGTTTGCGCACCCAGTTCTTGTCATCAGTGTTCCGAGCCACATTGAGCATGTGCGTATTCCCGAAAGTCCGGCAAACACGCGTTGTACTCGCTAGGAGAAATTTATTTTATTTTATTTATTTATTTATTTTCATACCTCAAGGGCCTCCTAGAAGGAGGCATTACATGAGGGTTGGTACAAGTGACAGACTGGAACAAAAAACGAGGGTAGGGGTGAGGGGGAGGTGTGCTACCAACATAACTATATACAAGACCGTAACAAGAATAAATGAGTGAAGAAGCATAAAAGAAAATACATGGCCGGACACGCTACATGTTTTACATTGGGACCAATCAGAGTTTAAACAGCTTGGATAACCGCGCTTTACAGCAGTACAATGGTGCAAACATACAAGTCAGAATGCAAACAACGGCAATGAGCTAGGTAGCTATAAATTTGGTAAAAACAGAAAACAATATGATGTCAGAAGGCAACGCTCCATTACTTCGCCTGCACTGACAACAATGAAAGTCAAAAAAACGAAATAGCGATAGAACGACCGCGCCGGTCTACGATGCGCACGCGCTCGAGTAGTTCACTTACAGTAAGTTGCATCACAACAGAAATAAGTGTAAGTAGCTACCTAACTGCTGTTTAGATTGCAAATGGGTCAGCGTTCTGGCCTGTGTTTCAGCTATGGAGGGAGCAGACGGCATAGCAGACGCCACAGCGGATGCAGTCAGCATGAAGCGCGCAGATAGCCCGAGGCCGCTCGGGCAGGCTCGGGACTTTTAGATCACGTGCATGTGACGTAGCCACCTGTGAGCCGAGGCGTCCGCGGGCCATCCGCTAGTGATCCGGGACTTGGTAAATCGATGAAGCTCAGTTGTGAGTTGCATTCGCCACAACCACATGAAGTGAGGCCACACCACAAATAGTGAATTCCACACGTCACATTACGCTGCCAGTAGCAATGACTTGGCAAATGTCAACAGCTCTCACTTGTACTAGTTCCGTCTCCCCCTAATCTGTCAGTACCTGCATTCTGTTTGTGCTTCTAAGCTATGAGGAGTCGATCTGCATATCTGTCTAGTATTACTGTTGTCTGTCTACTATTACTGTTGTGCTTACACGCACGCTTTTCAAAAACTGTTCGTGCTCTTCCTTCTCCTGAACTGTGTTCTGAGGCTGCTGTTTCGGCATGTGCGATACAGGGTCAGGCAACAGACATCCAGATCCACGCTGAGGAGATCCTGAAGCTTAAACGGGTCATCAACAATATCTACGCGAAGCACACTAAACAGCCACTGGAGGCCATAGGTGAGCCGTTCAATTGGAAACACCCGAATCTTGCTTGTGTGCCAAATCTGCTGGTGCACTTTTAGTTTTATCTCAACTAGAAATATTGGGAGCCATTGAACTCTCTGTTCAGCCTCATTTTATCTTGGCTGTCACTTGAATATTTCTGTCTTATCTGCTACTCACTCAGTGGTCTTTCACTTTTTCTTCGGTCATTTTCACGGGAATGTGATTAATGAGCCACTGCCGGTTCAAGCGTATTCAAGTGCCTTTCATAATGTAAAGACATCATGAAAGGCACTTGAATAATTGTTTCGGTGAGTGAGTCAGTGAAATAGCTTTATTAGGTCCACAATAGACGCGAGTTAACTCATAGTCACCTGGCTAGGCCCACTCGGGGACAGTCAGGTTCAACCTGACCATCCTCGCGCGGGCCCTGTTGATGGCCAGGATCAGAGAGGTAACACATTAGCTGCTGCACTCAAATTGACGCACTTAAACCTGGTTTCATCTTATGGGTGTTAACACGGATTAATTGGTTATGTGGCAAATGATGTTCGAGGTTGCCAGATTGCAAGGTTTCACCATTTGAACAATTTTTGTTGGAAGATACCAGCAGCAGTTTGACTTCCTGCCTCATTGTGATATATTTTGCTGTGGGCTATGCAGATACTGTTGTTGGTGATCCGGGCCCTGTTGATGGCCAGGATCAGAGACGTAACACATTAGCTGCTGCACTCAAATTGACGCACTTAAACCTGGTTTCATCTTATGGGTGTTAACACGGATTAATTGGTTATGTGGCAAATGATGTTCGAGGTTGCCAGATTGCAAGGTTTCACCATTTGAACAATTTTTGTTGGAAGGTACCAGCAGCAGTTTGACTTCCTGCCTCATTGTGATATATTTTGCTGTGGGTTATGCAGATACTGTGGGAACAGGTAACGTGTGGTTTCTGGAAGCACAATATGCTAGCTTAAATTGCTGTTCAGTTCGTCCTGTGAATCTGGCATGAGGTGTTGCCTCTCATAGTTAACATCTAACCAAGTGCTTTGCTACCCACAGCACAAAACATATCGAGCTTAAGGACACAATAAATATGTAACTTACAGGGGTAGGTACACTGAAACATTGATATAACAAACTCAGATATAACAAAACATTGGTTATAACAAAGTAAATGAAAACTAGTCTTGCAGTAAATATAGTGTTAGAAATAAACATTTATAACGAATTTTCATAGGTAACAAACTTTTTTTGTGTAAGATTCAACTTTGTTGTCTTGAGGTTTGAGGGTAATCATGGCTGCACACGGGTGGTAATCCTGGAAGGGCGTGGGGGTTGTGACCCCGCTTGTGTTCAGCCTGAGGAGGAACACCTTTTAAAGTGCTTCCACCCCCCTTCAGATTTGTCTTTCAGACCTCATTAGCTTGATAGTGAAATGGATATTTCGTTCTCCTAGGTGGTCATTGCTCATGCTGTACGGAACATGCAGTATTCTTCTTTTTTACAACTGTCTGTTAGTGGTAGCTGTGTCCAATACTACCCTGACTTTTGTAAGACTACTGAAACTGCAACTGCCGTTTAACCGGTTTCTAAACAGACTCGGAAGCACAATACTATCGAGTCAGGTGTGAATCTATTGTCGTTTTTTCTGAGCATTATTTGAAAATTTATATCAGTAAGTATGAAACTACACGTATCTATAAAAACGAAGTGGCCACCATAGTAAAATCTGGATCCCATCCTTGTGATCTTTTTGAATACACGCTACTTGCAGGGTAGGACTGGTGGAATGTGTCCCGTCCGCGTTATCATAAAGCTATCATTATCGGTTGATGAATGAAGAACCAGAAGAGGGTTTTGCACAATTTGTATGCAATACTAGCCTATTATACATTGCAGTGGGCTCACCTGTGTTCCTTGTGTTTAAAAATGCAGAAAGTGCCATGGAGAGGGATCGGTTCATGAGCGCCGCGCAGGCCAAGGAGTTCGGCCTCATCGACAATGTCCTGGAGCACCCGCCGACGCTTGACGCACCGGCCGAGACAAGCTAGCCCACGTCATGCTCGTCATATGCCCTTTTGTACATTTGTAACAACTTCCGCTCAATGAGATAGCAGTAAAGCAGAGAACATTTCTCCACACGAGCCTCTCATTTACTGTCACGTGGCAGTGCTGCTTCAATAACTAGAGGTCTTGAAGGCATATTGCCTTCAAGGCAATGTACTTCCGAGAAATATCTCATGCTGCTATTCACTGCTAGCAGACCCGAAGTTGCCAGATATGTCAAAGTTATCTAAAAACACCGTGTTGCTTGTCATATTCTTGTGTTCAAAACTTTCTGCGGCTTGCATGTTGCAATGAAACGTAAACTAGACTCTATCCTCGATATAACGAACGTGGATATAACAAAGTATTGGTTATATTGAAATAAATGAAGATTAGTCTTGCAATAGGTACAGTGTTAGGAATATACCTTTATAACTTATTTTCAGATGTAATCAGCTTAATTTCGTCTCAGATACAACTTTGTTATATGAGGTCCGAGCTTATTGTTAATGACTTGCATGAATATTTCACAAGGCTTGCACACTGGGGAAGCTCATAAATTATGGCGATTCTTCTCTCTCCACTTTTGTGGCTTTGTTACTGCAGGATTTTCATAAACCTTTTATAAATTTTTACAGTCTGCCAGGTGCCACAGAAATCGGGTAATTGTCTACCCATAACGAAGGAGAAAGCTTATTGCGAGCTGGCAGCTGTTGAAACTCATGGGAGACGAAAGAAAGCACAACATTGCGGGAACCTAAAGCACGCGCAGCAGTAATAAACAGAATAACTATAACAAAAAAAGAAAGCGAACCACCTTGCTTTCATTCGCACAGAACGCAGTTGCCGCATCTCGTTATTGTGACGTTTGCACTTCCAGAATGGTCAACCTCTCTACTGATTCGATAAAAGAGCTGCTCGACGTAAGCATCAGTGAGAAGTGGAGAAAGAATGGGCTAACGCATGGCACTGGCCAGTATGGGATTAGAGGACAGATGGTGAATGTGCCGATTCACATCAAGACTACTGAAGATTGCCTTCCCAAAAACATTCTTTATGACGATGCCATTGATGTGCATCTTAAGCAAAGGCTTTTTGTAAACCTGTGTATAACAGTGGTACGGTCAAGATGCAATGAAACTACACTGCCACCTCAAAGGCCGACAACGAGCGTGTAATAGAGAACTGTTATATAATAATATATCTGGAAGACTTGAAGAGCCAAAGAATATGATAGCCTGATGAAGGCAAGGCCATGATGGCTCCACTGTTTCATCAGTTTCCTTGAAAGGAAGCTGGTGGAACTCATTTACATCCATGTACATTATAATGAGGCTTGTTTGCCTGATGCACAAATTTGATAACAGAAAGTAGAGCAACGCAAGACTGGACGTCAATATAAGCCTGTGTTCTTGGCTGTGATAACTTCCCGTGACGGTAATTCTAGTGAGAACACCCAGGGTCTGCTAGGACCGGCAACTACATTGTACATGAAAGGGGCAAAGGCAAGCAAGCGCGCATCTTCTTATGGATGTGCCAGGTGACTGCTGATGTGCCTCAACACGTTGTCTCAATCAACGAGGACGCAATGCGAGTGCTGTCACTAAAGCACTGCCTGAAGCAGACGCTACGCCGTAGGCGTGCGCAAGGTTCTCTAGTAAGGCCAAATGTTTCGTACGGCTTACTTGTAACAAAGAAAGAGATTGGTTCTAAGAGCGCGATCCGGGATATTGGTGCAACGCATAAACTAGTGCTCAAACAATACAAATAGCAAATTTGATGGCAGAAACCATGTTAATATATTTCAATCGCTCTTATGAACAGAACACAAAATTAAAAGTACAATCGTTCCTCATACGCATAGTCCAAAATGAACAATGAGGCCTTAAACAATCAACATTCTCATTTCTTCTGGCCTCGGTCGCCCTCGCGGGCCTTCGGCCTTCGCGACGACGCCTTACCGAAACGTCTTCCGTCGGCGTTCTGCGTCAGTGCGCGTTCACCAAGTGTCGCTGAAATTAGACACGCCGTCCTAGTCTTCAACGACACCTGGACGTCCATCAAAGCCCGGGCCGAGATATATGGGCGCCGTACCGTGGGGTGACAGCGCACCGCAATCGACTCGGCGGCAACGTTTCACGTGACGCCACGGTCGTACCATGCCGGAGGTCCCGAGTAGTGCGCGGATGCTGGAAGCTTAAGCGGTGTTGGTGCGGACGTTCCACCGGACCACACTCACCAAGAACGCGTTATACTACGAGCAGCGACGGCCATGCTTCGGAATCGCGGTGGCTACAATCAGAAGGCGACGTCGTTCTTCGATCGATAGTTCCATCCAGTCCTTGGTGGTCGACGGAGCGTCGACTCGGTCGTCACTACTCGGGTCTTCCACCCAGTCCTGGTGGTCCAGGTTCGCGGAAACCTCTTACGACGCCAGAGTCGCGTCAGCGTTGCATGGCGGCCGAAGCTTGTTTCGACTTCGACAGGGTGACGTCTTCAAAGAACGGCGCTGGCGTTCGCTTGGCATCGATTTGGACGCCCGCCGTGTTCGGCCTCAATATCGTCGAGACGACGTGGTGGCCAGCTGTTCGAGTTCCCCTTCTTTTCTCCGTAGTGGCCGTGGAGGCGGCAAGCGCTCGTGCGTTCGGCTGGTTCTGACGTTTAGCTAGTAGACGGCCGTCGTCGATTTTGAAAGACCTGCGGATCGCGGAGAGCAAGCATGAAATGATTATGATGATGATGATCATGATCTTGATACTCTGGCGCACACCCACAAAGGGGGATCGGCCAAGAACCGGGCGGCAGGATCTTAACTAAAGGCTAATGGTTTTTCAAACAAAACGTAATTTAAAACGGAGTTTAACAATTTTCAGTTTGACGGTGTTCACTACGTACAAGTTAGTGGCACTTCAATGGGCACCAAAATTGGTCCGAATTACGCGAATATATTTATGGGCCAATTGGAAAATCATTTTCTTTCAACGCGCAGACTACAGCCATATTACTACAAACGTTTTATAGACGACATATGTTTTATCTGGCATCACGGCGAAGCGGAACTAATGACTTTCATTGCAGACTTTAACAAGGTTCATCCATCCATTTCATTGTCACATTCGTACTCGAAGGCATCCATCTGTTTCTTGGATGTAACAGTATCCCTTTGCGGCGAAAAATTATCTACTAAAGTATACAGAAAACCCACCGACGCTCACCGATACCTTCATTTCAAAAGCAGCCATGTAAAACATTGTAAGACGAGTATACCCTACAGTCAAGCACTTCGTTTCAAAAGACTGTGCTCTGAAAATTCAGACTTTGTTGAAAACTGTGATAAGCTTCGTGATGCCCTAACTGAACAACAGTACCCACCTCAGATTATCGACAATGCGATTATGCGCGCCGATGCAATTGACCGAAGAGCGCTTCTAAAATCAAATAAAGAACCTGCGCACCGGAAACACATCAATTTAATTCTGACACATTCTTCATCAATTCCAAATGCTAACGCGATCCTCAAAAAGCACTACAACATACTAATGCAGAGCAATCGTCTCAAAGACGTCTTCCCGGAGCCTCCACGAGCAGTTTACCGCCGATCGAGAAACCTACGAGACATACTTACGTCATCGAAACTATCAACGCCAGCCCCAGTGGGGTGTCACCCATGCAACAAGGCACGCTGCAAGGTGTGCCCCCACATGACCACGTCGCGTATTGTTAAGAGCTCTGCGTCGAACTTCACTCTCTGGATAAAAGGCAATTTCGACTGTGACACGAGCAATGCAATCTACTTGCTCCAATGCTCATTGTGTGACCTCCACTATATTGGTCAAACAGAGACAGCTTTCCGGTTGCGCTTTAATAATCACAGGTCACACGTCAGGTGCCTGCCTAGCCTTCCCCTGTCCAAACACCTCGCTACCCCAGGCCACTCTTTCGACAACATAACTGCCACAATACTCGAATCTGGTTTCAAATCGCACTACGAAAGGGAAGTTCGTGAATCTTTTCTTATTCATAAATTTAACGCAATAGCGTCTGGAATAAACGAAAACCCAGGGAGGCTTACGTTTTTACCGGCAAATCAGATAAATGAACCGCCGTAGCCCACATACACGTTTGTCCACTGCCGTGATTACGTTGCGGTGTCATTGGTGACACATTAGTTAGTTGACCAGAATGCATGCACACTCTGTTACCACATTTGTGACATCAATGGTGATATTATGCTCATGTATATTTCATTGACAACGAACGTAACTTACCATGGCATTACCTTTTTTTGTTCATTCACAAATGTTGCGATATCACAAGTGTCCATCATATTATTTGTATCTATGCTTTCAAGTCACCTTGCCCTACCTTATTCTGTATAGCGCGCTGCTGCTCCGCTATCAACAAAATGCTGCGCATGTCTGAATATCTTTGTTAACATGTATGTCAATATTGCTAAGAGTGATGATTCACAATTGGGGGCCCCCATGCTATGTCTATAAGAAGTGCGTGTTAGTGTAATATGCAAGTATGCCCTGACGAAGGCCGGTCCCCGGCCGTAACGTTGGCAATAAAGCATCGTTTTTCGTTTGCTTCTTCTGGTGACTTATAACTCGACCGGAATCCAGGAAGACTTTCAAGAAATATATATATATATATATATATATATATATATATATATATATATATATATATATATATATATATATATATATATATATATATATATATATAGGCAGATTAACATGGCAATCCCTTTGTTTCAATTATGTATTCAAATACCGCAGAGTAGACGTCCCTGTGGCTATAACCGAATTTAATGCTGCCAAACGACAAAATTACTGCCACATTTAATTCTAATCCCAATTTTTCAAGTGGAGCTACCAGGTATCTTTTCCGCTGATGAGAATATCGGCGACAGAACAAAAAGAAGTGATCTATCGTTTCCATGTCTTCGCAAGTCTGGCATAAAGGTGACGCCTTTAGACCAACTTTATGCAAATAATAATTCAGTTGCGGAATTCTGCAACGCAATTTTGTAAAAGTAACTTCCAAGTGCCGTGTTGCACACCACTGTCTATTCCAGCGGCATCTTA